TTGGTTTTTCAAGAATTGAGTCTAATTCTTAGATGAGTGTATAAGTGCAAGATTGTTAAACATACACAAATTTGACAATGAAAAGTATAAAAATGTCATAATGAGGCCCGTTATTATGTATATTAATATGGGAATGAAATATGAAACAAACAAAAAGGATTAGTAACTGATTGTAGTAGATCCTGTCTGTAATCCCAGCACTTTGGAGGCAAGTCGGGAAGATTGAAAATTTGAGGCTTAACAAAAGAGCACCAGGTGTGCCTTGGCAGTCACACTGGCCAGAAAATGATGCATCAGTGTCTTCTAAAAACTATCATCTTTTTTTTTGGTTTTTCGAGACAGGGTTTCTCTGTGTAGCTTTGCGCCTTTCCTGGAACTCGCTTTGGAGACCAGGCTGGCCTCGAACTCACAGAGATCCGCCTGGCTCTGCCTCCCGAGTGCTGGGATTAAAGGCGTGCGCCACCACCGCCCGGCAAAACTGTCATCTTTAAATGTCACATATAATTAAGTCATTCCCAGGAGTGAGATGTAAATAATGACCTGTACAAATACAGAAAGGCTAAGAAAGTTTAAGATTCACATCACAGAGACATAATAAAGAAGCCAGAATTGATACTAGGGAGATTGTCTAGTGGTAAAGGCACTTACCATGCAATCAAGAAGACCAGAGTTCAGATAAATACACCACACACACATAGACACGGAAAGGAAAGAGACAAAAAAGAAGCCAATTTAAAAATACTTCTTAAAACTGTGGAAACTTTAAAATATTCTCTATTATAATGAATCAAAAGGGAAATTATAGTAGAAAATACAACATACTTTGCACTGAGATAATGTATGTACAACATACTGAAACTTACAGGCTATAAAGAAGTAAGTATAAATGTATATATAACCTTGCCTTGAAAAAAAATACTCCTAAAACTGAGGTCTGGAGACATGCCTGGTGGTTAAGGGTACTTGCTGCTCTTCCAAAGAAGAACTTGAGTTCAGTTCCCAGCATCCGATTGGGTGGGGAACAACCACCTATAACTTCATCATCAGGGGATTTGATCCCTTCTAGATTCTGTGGCCACCCACACACGCATGCATGTACATCCATACAGACACATACAGGTAAAGATAAATATTTTTTAATACTTGTACAACTAAAAGATTCACAGGGAGATAAGTATAAATGATCAATGAGGTTTCCTGAGGAATTGAAGGAAACAAGTCAAAAGAAATTAATAAAACAATAAATAGTATAAAAGATCAATTCCACATGCTCGTTTGTTTAAAAATTAATTTTATCTAGGCCAGCCTGGTCTACAGAGCTAGTTCTAGGACAGCCAGGGCTACATAAAGAAACCAAAATAAATACATAAATAAACAAATGATTATCAAATTTGTGCAACTAACAGACCTTTAGCATGATTGATCAAGATATATAGGGGAAATGAAATAAATAAAAATAATATTTATTCCCCAAACCCAAGATGTATGACCCTTTATACTTCTCACTGTGTTGGACTGATGATAAAAAGAAACTACTGTGGGTGATCTTAGATCACCCAGTATAGCAATTGCAGTATGATGTGAAATGGCAAAAATATAGAAAAATATAAACAAGAATCAACTCAGGAGATACAGATAGCCTTCCCCAGTCAAGAAACTGCACTAATAACCAGAAAGCCTTTCTCTTTCTTTCCCCTTCCAGGAGTTACCAAGACCCACATGGTTTACAAAGAGTAAACTGTCCATCATACCTACACACATAAGTTACCTGCAGGGGACAGAGCCTGTTTCTAAACCAGGAAGAGAGCAGCTGAGTCACTCACTGCATGAGACTCAGCAAGCCTGCACATGGAGTGCCCCAGCATATTTTTAAGAGGGAAACGGCACAGTGAACACAGGTGGAAACATGCTAAAAGAATAGTTTCATAAGGCATGTGCACAGTCTGACTCTACCTAATGGAGTGAAGGGAGCACTTCCTGTGCACAGCCTCCTTTTCCATCTCCAGTGCTGCCACAGGAGGGAGGGGAGGAGGTGATTGAGTTGAGGACATAAAAACGTAAGTCCCCATCAGCAAAGATCTTCCAGGAAACCGAATTAAAAGGGATATGGGATTTCCTTGATTTGATGAAGGGAAGATAATGAAAACCTTGAGGGAGCTTCATGTCTAATGGTGAAACTCAGAAGCTTTTCCATTAATCAGAAGCACCAGCCTGTGTTGACTGCTCCTATTAAACAGTATGCTACTGTTTAGGCCCTAGAATATCAGATAAAATGGGAGGTTCAGGAAAAGTGAGGTGCTAATGGGAATAAACCGTGTTTATGAGGAATTCAGGGGGTCTTCGGCTGTGCTCGTGGGACTGCAGTGTTTGGTGCAGACTTAGATTAGGAAAGGTCAGGTCGGTTGTAGTTGATGGCCTCTGTCTCACTTAGCCTCCTCTACTAGCACCAGGAGACACACTGTTCTAGAGTGCTGGGAATACTTCTCATTTAGCAATTATGTTCAAAGATTGTACAACTAAGCTGATAAAATTATTCTAACCACCCCAAAGTGGCTTTATTGGCTTTCAAATTTGGGGAAGAAAATAAAACTATCCTACTCTAGTTCACTGTTCAAGCTAGCAAGTGTTGTAACTGCTGTTTTGGCAAAAGTGGAATGAAGTGAAGTGGTCCAAGTTAGAAAACAGATGGGAGAATTTTTTACCATAGTAAGATCTCTTGAATTTGTATCCTAGTTTAGGGTGCCTTGCTCTAAATTTAAATCTGTTCAGATTTTGGCTCTCTTCCCAAGGCATTAAAGTACAGACTGTTCTGCCAGATTGAATCATAGCTTTTAATCCAGGCAACTCTGAGAGATTTAGTATTAGTCATTATTTACTTGTAATCCAGGCAAAGTCCAAGCATGTGCTGTTGTGTGTGACTTGCTGCCTCCTTCCTCGGCATGGTCTGACTTTACAATTACTTACCACATTTTGTGATAATCTTTCCTGTTCTCCTGGGAAGCCAAGATACTCTTCTGTAGAATAGATTGAAAATGAGAGGAGAAATCAGAGTCACAAAGATCTAGGGATTTGGTTAGGAACATTAGAGTTGCATTGTTTTTTGTTTTTTGTTTTTGGTTTTTTTTTTTGGTTTTTCGGGACAGGGTTTCTCCGTGTAGCTTTGTGCCTTTCCTGGAACTCACTTGGTAGCCCAGGCTGGCCTCGAACTCACAGAGATCTGCCTGCCTCTGCCTCCCGAGTGCTGGGATCAAAGGCATCAAAGGCGTGCGCCACCACCGCCCGGCTGAGTTGTATTCTTTTTGTATCGTTTTCACATTGTTTCTCTAGTTTAAGTGTTTGGGGTTTGCTCTTAGATTTTCCTTCACTGTTCCAAGCATTCTTTTGTAGCCTGTAGTATTCTACTACATGTATCCTGAAGCTGTTATTTTTCGCTCTCAGCTCTTTGTTGAGACTAAAGGCTAATATTAAGGCAGATGCTTCCTGATTGCTGTTACTTGGGAGATGGTGTCTGCCTCAATTCTGGTTCATAGTATCAACCTGATAGTATGGGACAGGTGGACATTCTGCTGACCAGCAGGTGATTGTGGGGGGTGGAGGCTGATAAAGGATGGCTATTTCTCATGACAAAATAAGTCATTCTGTGGACATGAGTGTACAGGGCAAAACTGAGACCAGCAGATGGTGTGTCGAAGCAGTGTCTTGTTTGTATCTCAGCTATGAGGTTTTCTGTGGCTGTCTATTCATAGATGCCAGCTGGGACTGTCCACTAACTGCCAGTACCCACTGCCTTTTGTAGCAGACTTGTTGGCTTTTTTAGAATATTCAGATACACTTTCATGTGTGGTTTCATGTTTGCTTCGTGGTAAAACAAGATATTCAGGAGCAAAATCCATTCTTGGGTTCACTTGGTGGTAAAACATGTTAATCAAATACAATCAGATCCCTTTTCCCCAGATCTCTACTCTCTCTGTAATTCTCTAGTATATTAAACTCTTGATCCCTATTATTGCCATTTCCTCATTAAATACTGAAAGTTCTTCCGAGTTATGATGAAAAAATTTCTCATTGAGAATCCAACACAGAATATAGAGCTATGTAACTGAAAACAGGCCTGCTGCTTTTTACTTTCCTTTGTTATAGAGTTTATGTAAGGATCTATTTCAATATTTTATTTTCTGAGACAGAGTCTTTTTTTTTTTTTTTTTTTTTTTTTTTTTTTGGTTTTTCGAGACAGGGTTTCTCTGTGTAGCTTTGCGCCTCTCCTGGAACTCACTTGGTAGCCCAGGCTGGCCTCGAACTCACAGAGATCCGCCTGGCTCTGCCTCCCGAGTGCTGGGATTAAAGGCATGCGCCACCACCGCCCGGCTGAGACAGAGTCTTAATAGACTAGACTGCCCCAGAATTCACTATATGACTGAAGCTGGACTTGAACTCATGATCCTCATTCCTTCCCCTTCAAGAGGTTAACAAATATTCTTTAGAATTTAAGAAGAGAGAGAGGTAGAAAATACATTATTGCATATAGAGCAGAGGAAAAACCTAGGGGATGCTGGAGGAATCAATCCATATGCCTTGGAACACCAGATTGTACAAGAAAAGAAAATGACCATTTCGCCCATATTGTGGAAACATTGTTGTGACACCTATTTCTCCAGGTTTCTCAACACAGTCCCAGGGCTGACTTTGATTTTGCCTAATTTTGGTGTGTTCCCATCTCTGAAGCGATCGTTCTCTGTAATTTACTAACCAGACCTGGGGTAGGTTTAGATTGGTTGGTTTGTATTTTTTTCTCCTCTCTGGAGCTTATGGATGGGATTAGCTCTCCTTCAGATGGACGCAGAATAGAAGAGGAAGACCAGGTGTAAACCCCAAAAGAAGAAAGGTGTGCTGAGCAGATAAAGAGTAAATCTGCTTGACAGGAAAGGACTGTCCTTCACTAGGAAGGCCTGGCATTTGAGGTACATGGCCTGATGCTCCTGCTTGTCCTTGTTTTCCTGTAGGTACCTGTTTCCCAAGTTCACACTGTGCTGGACCGAGTTTGTAGACATGAAAGTCCATGTGCCCTGTGAAACAGTTGACTACATTGAAGCCAACTATGGTAAGACCTGGACGATTCCTGTCAAGACATGGGACTGGAAGAGCTCGCCCCCAAATGTGCAGCCCAATGGTGTCTGGCCTATTTCTGAGTGGGATGAGGTTATCCAGCTGTACTGAGAATACAAAGTTATGGAGGGACATTTCCCAAAAAGAAGGCGGGTAACTGTTTAAAACATGTGAGAGCCAAAGAAGATAAGTGAAAAGTTTGAAGACAGAAATGTTCTAACTTGTGGACCGTCTAATCAGCTCTGCCATTCAGCATTTTCTGAGGTGTTTATACACCAGGTAAAACACTGGGTTCTGGTGGTCAGGCAGAGATGAATGAGCAAATGCCTGCCTCTTGCTTGTCATGTCCAATTTTCTGTTAAGGGAGTCTCCCCCACCTTCTGAAGAGCTGATATGCATTGTGATGTATTTCATGATTCTTAAAACATTAAATAATGTTTATACTGGAAAGTGAGCTCATGAGACGAAGCTAAGGAAGGGTAAATTTGTTAGGAATAAGTCCTTCCTGCCAGCCCTTAGGACTTAAGTTGCTGTGTTAGTGCCCCTTTAAGGTTGTGGAATATGAGTTAGTATTTTATGAGTGATTAGACTTTGTGTCACACAGAGAAAGACAGTGGCAGACTCATGTTACAAGCAATGCGATTCACAGTTGACTTAAAGCACAGGGCGATTTATAAAGGAAGATGAGAGCCCATTTCAAGTCTTGTCAAGATGTATCTTCTTTTCTTCATATTTGAAGTGAGAAGTTGATGCCTATGTGATGCTTAAATGTCTGACATCATAGGAACATGGTCACTGACCTGCAGTAGTTCTTGATAAGTCACTCAGTCATGCTGCCCAAAAGTTGTGATTTCACAGAGCTTACTTTGCTCAATTCATTCTCAATCGCTGTTAGACTTAAATATAGGAGTTATTCATGGTCATTTTTCTATGTTCTGAACTTATAACTCTTCTACCCTTAATTTTAATGTTGACACTAAATACTAGTAGATATACCTCTGAGTTTTCTAATATACCATTTATTTATGTATGAACTGTAGCTCCGTTTCTTTAATCGATAGCTTACACTCTTAATTGATTTAGCATAAAGATACGACTGTTGTTCTATCCAATATTACTTCAGGTTTCCATAATGGAGGGTTAATGTGAATCTGATAACTCTTCCTCATTCCAAATCACTGCTTTTAAAACCTGTGTCCATCTCTAGATTTTCCTTCTGCTGAGTATAATAATGCAAGGACTCAGACTTCCCTACTACCAAGTGCTACACCTGCTGGACCCCTTGATCTCCTTTTTCTTCTCATTATGCACTCGTGAGTAGGTTGGGCTAGCTGCACCCATCTCTGTACCTGTACTTAAGTGATGTGCTCTAAGTGAGATATGCAGGGCAGTCTGGCACAGTAAATGCTGCCTGGGAGAAGAGGTTCTCTACTCTCTGCTGCTTAGGGATGCTCTCCCTGGCAGCTTGACAGATTTCCCTGTGGAACTATAGTTACTAAAATGGAAACCAGAATATCTGAGGGAATGGGCTGGCAGAAATTAAAAAAAAAACAAAACCAAAAACAACTTTAGGGGACGTTACTTAAAGCCACCCACTTCCAAATTTTAAAATCACATGAAAACTCTTTGATGGATGAAAAACCACAGTCTGTGAGGATACATCCTCCATGTAGGAATACTGAGTCTCATCATAGCTGTCATATTCAGATTTTCAGGAAACAAATTATAGATCATAAACAGTTCTGTCCTAGAAAATAACTCCATAGAATATGTATCCATGTTTTAGATAGCTAACCCTAATTTTATTTTATTTTTTGTGCACCAGAAATAAAATGATTATAATAGTGTTCTTGAGAAAAACCCACCCTATCTGCAGAGAACTGTTTGTTCGTATCAGTATCCAGAAGTAAGTTCACTCACATCACATTTCTTGAGAGCTCCCATCTTCTGCCAGGAGATTTCACCTACTCCTGTTCAAGTTACCTCACCTGTGTCCATATTTGGAGTTCAAGGTCTGGAAGTGTCCAGAATAAGGCAGTCTCGGCCTGTGGTCAGAGGTTCTATATTCCTCCCTACATAGAGGACAGCTAAACTTCTTGTCTTCCCTCTCGTTTGGCACTAGTATTTAAGTTCCATCCTATCTTGCAGAAAATGAAAGCCTTTCCCCCAGAACTCAAAGGTGAGGCCTGCATCTCAAAATGATCCCATGATTCACTCACAGTGACACCTGTGCTTCTTAACCTTTGAACTCTGCTGAGTGTCCAGAGACCTTGGGTTAGGTGTGCCCACCACCTGTATCTTCTCAGATCACTTTTCCTTTCCTCCCTGAATATGCCAAGTGTCCTTCTCCTATATGACTACTTTCTGGTCCCATCGCCTGGCTTGCTTGAAGACACCTTGTGTAGTAACTTGTTGGTACTTATGTAACCAAGGTTATCTCCAGAAGACCCTGAGGAGCAATGCTTTCTCAGTTTGCAACAACCAGCTACTTCTCCAAGCATGGGGCACATGCCGTGCTCTTGGCTGCAGTTATTGACATTTGGTGCAAGGAGAGGACTGATTTCCACAAATGGCCTGTGACCCCTGCAAACATCACTCTGTGTAATGACTCATAGAACCAAAGCTTTGGAATGCTTAGTCATTTACTACCTACCCTAGATAGACTCGTGGAGTCTTGTTGCCCAGCATGTGTGAGGCCTGGATCAGTACAAAGCACCAGAAGTCTGAGCAGAAGGATCACCATGTTCAAGGCCAGTCTGAGTTACATAGTGAGTTTCAACCCATCCTGGGCTACTGTATAAGACCCTGTATTGAGGGAGGGACAAGGAGGGAAGAGAGAGAGGGAGAATGAGAATATACTCATGTCAATCATCTGCCCACACGTTTTTGGTTTTTTTCTAAGCTAAGCAAGACTAGGCAGGGTATGTAATGCTTTTTTAAGTCACGTCACTTTAGAGCAAACTATTAATTGTAGTTAATTATAGGCAAGCAGACCAAGTCAGTGTTGAGACTTTTCATATAGGACCAGTAAGCAAATATAAATTTCTGAGAAATTTGTTTCTGTACCCTCTCATCTAGGCTAGAATTTGTCACTATAAACCTGGACCCAACCGAATAGAATTTCTCTGAGGGCCCATGTAGTCATCCAAACTTCTACTTATGAGTACCTTCACAGAAGGGGGTATATAGGAAAGCTTCGTCGTATAAGGTATTCTGTCATACACTTTCAAAACTCTAAGCTCTTACAGCCTTCTGGCAATTTATTCAAAGCATGAAAACTAGTTCATGAGTTTGTTAAATGCAAACCATGTAGCTCTGTCAACATGTATATGACTATGAACATGTATGTGAATTTTCTAGACAAAGTAATATTTTAAACATGAGATTTCTGTGTATGCATACCAGTTTACTATTTGATTTTTGTCTTAAGGTATAGTTTATGGTACTGCTGAAAACACTTTTAGTATTATTACTGTGATCTGAATTTGTAATTTATAACCTACTTTGGGATGATTAATAAAATGTTTTAATCTCTTATGCTTTTAGTGTTTGTTTTTGAAACTTGAACTAGAAATAAAAAGCCAATACCATTCAAACCTGTGAAATCATAAACTTGGCACAAATACAATATTTCTAAAATCCAAGTCTGGAAACCATAGAGGTCTACACACATACCCTGGAATCCAAAATTTCTCAGTGACAAAGTCTGCCACATGACATTTAATCATGCAGATTATCTGCCTATTTGCTCATGGTAGACAGGGAAAACACCCACTGTGGAAAACCATGACATAGTCATAGAGCTCTAGAAAGTTCTTTTATACTGTTTGAGCTAAAGTCAAAATTGTAAAGAAATACCCCAGGGTACAGGGTGAAAAGTCCTAGTATATGCAAACCCAAGTATCTATAAAAAGGATATATATATATATACACATGAAAAGAAACCAAAGAAGACCTACATAAATGTAGGTACTGTGTCAAGCATTAGAAAAGTCAAAAGATGTGAAATTTGCCCAAGTTGATGTATACATTTGGTGTGCAATTCCTACGATGATCTCAGCCTTTTTTTGTTGTTGTTGGTTTTTCGAGACAGGGTTTCTTTGTGTAGCTTTGTGCCTTTCCCGGAACTTACTTTGGAGACCAGGCTGGCCTCAAACTCACAGAGATCCGCCTGCCTCTGCCTCCCAAGTGCTGGGATTAAAGGTGTGCGCCACCACTACCCGGCAATCTTTTTCTAAAATCTTTATTCTAAAATTCTATGGTAAATTTATCTAGAGGAGCTTGAGCCATCTTGACAAGAACAGGAAAGAATGCAGGAGACCTGGTTCCAGTGTTGAGAGCACTAGCTGCTCTTCCAGAGCTCCTGGATTCAGATCCCAGAATCCACGTGGAAACTCACACTGTCCTTAACTCCAACTCCAGGGGACCTAACACCCTTTTCTGTTTCTGTGGGCACCAGACAGACACATGGTGCATATACAGGCAAAACAAGCACACATATTAAAGAAAAATCTTCTGAGACAAAGAGATGTGAGTCTCCTTGAATTTGAATAGGTCTGTGATCTTAGAAGGGAGGTGGTGATCCCTAGTTTGACAGTGAAATCAGTTGTTCTGTAGAGATGACAGATCTTAAATCCTTGTCTTCTCATTTGAAATCCATTGGTTTTCATTTCTGCCAATTCTTATTACTACTGGCCTGGAAAATAATTTTTTTAATTATAACTTGTATCCAACATTATTTTCAACAAGAAAATATATGTGTATATTTATATATATTATGTATATATATGTATGTGTGTGTGTGTATATATATATATATATATATATATATATATATATTTGATATGAAAATTTTATGTGGTAGCAATAGCTGGTGCCTGAGTCCACTGCAAGGAGACTGCTGTTGGTTTTCACAAAATGGTGAATACAGTCTCTTTCCAGAAGTCAAGAGTCTTAGAGATGGCATCAAAGGTGGCCTTAGTGAAGTTGTCCAATGTGTCAGTGAAGCCCCAGTCCTCAGTGCTGGTCAGCTGCATCAACTTGAATACAAGAATGAACATGGAGCCTGAGCTGCTCAGGGCAGGGCTGAGATGCACCAGCAGAGAGCCACAGCAGCCTGTCACCTCACATGGTATAGTGTGGAGTTTACCATTCTTATCCCACCAGCCTCTGCACTGGGACAATGGAAATCTTGGCCCCATAGGAGGGTCTGAGGAGGAGCTACCTCCTTAGGGCTCTTAACACCCAGGCCAACATAACCATTGTAGACCACCATGGCTACAAAGCTGGCCAGCCCAAGTCCACTTCAGCCTTGGCCTGATCATCAGAACCTCATCAAGGGACACTCCAAGGGAAAAGGGATAGGTATAAGATATTATGGTAGATTATTGTATACACTAGTAAACAAATTTAGTAAAATAGCAGTCTTAGATAATTTGCACTGTTATGAATTCTTATATGTTGATACAAATATAAACTATTTTTATATTCCTGTTTAAGATAATTTGTATATTGATACAAATACAGAACTCTATTTGTTATGATGTACACATATTTTTACTCTTATTTGAAATATTTGTATATTGATACAAATGTAAATTTATATCTGTCATACTGTATGTTCTACTTCTGTTTAAGATATTCGGTATATTGATATATATTTAAGATTATTGTCATATTGCACATTGCACTATACATTCCTACCTCTGTTATAAATATCTTGTGTATTGTCACAGTTTTGAAGTCATCGTCCTTTACCATACTTTTACTTATAGACTGTTTACCTTGTTTACATGTAGCCTTAGTCCTTAGGTTATTTAGGTAGATTAGACTTATAGATTTATAGTCACCTATGCTTGTCATCTCTATAGTTATGCTAGTTAGGTTATCCAGATTTACAGATACATAGGTCAGATGGACAGGTAATCTTCAAACACTTCATAGACCTAGAGAATATGCCATTTAAATAACTTAAAATTCTGTTGACGTGAGACACAATTGCTCCTCGCAGCACCAATTTGATCCTGAGAGAACATTGGGCTTCTAAGACATTTCCATTTGGAAGTTTGTCTTCTTGGCACAAAATGGCCTATTGAGCAAAGAACTGCCCTTATCTCAACTGCTGACAATACAAGTGCTGTCCTTCTGGACAAGCGGGACACACAAAAAAGTGACTTCTGAACTCTGCCAAGACAGGGTATGATGGTCTTTCAGAATTCCTGCTTCTGAAAATGGTCTGTCAGATACTCTAGGCCTGTAGCCAATTTCAATGCACCAACAATGCTGAGAAACATTAGGTGACTGTCCAGGGTGCCAGCTGTCTCTGTCTACTCTTAACAAGATTCCTGAAAGTTGCTTGCATTCATCTTCCATTTCTCAGGAACCATTGTATTCCTTCTCAGGTCTTTGATGAGATTGAAGACTAGCAGTTATAGTTACAACTTAGTATATATATAATATCTTAGATAGAATATATTAAGTATTAGATTCAGGTTCTTTAGGATAGGATACCTTTTGGAATGATCTTTGTAACATGCCATTTGCCCACGCTCTAGACTTCCCTGGATTTTAGTATGTGTTTCTTGCTTGATATTGTTTGCATTGATTGTAGTTCCATCTTATCTAGGTCATTATCCCTCATTACTCCTGGACATATTTGATAACCATTCCTTTGTATATAGTCTTTTATTAGGTTAGAACCTTCTTATTTAGACAAAATGGGGAGATATAGTGGGTAGCCATTCCAGCTTTGACCTGGAAGTTCCAACCCCCACTGAGGCTTCGGTAATGGTCATGTATACAAGGCAGGGCTGACAGAGGATGTTGAAGACCCAGGTTCCAGATGCGCGGGCTCTCTTAGTTCCTGGACCCTGGACCCTGCATGTAGACTGAGCAGAGTTCTCCAGAGAACACCACCGGATTGGGCCACACCTTTCCCAGACTCTGTAAACTATCCATTCACTTGTAAGTTACCCCACAAAATAAACCTCCCTTTTAACTACGTGGAGTGGCCTTAATAATTTCACCAATAATAAGTTGGAGACTTCTTGTCTTTGGCTCTGCCTCCAGAGCCCCACAGCCTTGACCCAAGTCTTCACTACTATGTCCTCTTTGAAAGCTTCAGAATCCTCCCAAGCATGGGCCTCTGTCCTCTGGGACCTACTGCCACATGGACATCACCCATTTGATATTTTCTTGAACAAGAAGTGAATCCAACCTGAAAAAGAAATAAGTAAAAAAAACTAGAGATTGTTGTTTCATGAAGAGGGGTAAAGGCATTAGGTGACAACTTATAAAGGTAGATGTCAGGGTGACGATGGGTGGGGACTGAGATCCCAGCAGATGCTGGTTTGTAGAGTTGACAGCTGGTGGTGTTGGTGACTTAGAGCCCTTAGATGTGCCAAACACTGCAAACCTTGCATAAGATTGTACCCACCTGGAGCGTAGCACCCTTGACACTTGCCCTCTGAGGACAGCAGTAGCCCACATTCCTCAGGGTTGTAACAGCCAATGTGAAAACTTTCCAGATCAACAATTCCCACCATCCCCTTCTGGTTCCAACGTTATGGCCCACCCCACACTAAGCATTGTGGGGCAGATTTCTAATACCAAGTCCTCGGCATGAATCTGGATGATGGCATCCACTATGAAGGGGATTCCATCGGGTTCATGGTGACACACCACCCACATTCTGAACTGTGTGCTGGCTGCTGAGATGTGGCTGGTGATTGAGCCGGGGGTTGTAGCCCTAGACCATGCCTTCCGTATTGGGTGTTTTGTGTATTCTACCTGCTGGGCCCAAATCTCAGGCTATCATCCATGTGCTGTGCCAGGCCAGACTACTGTGAAAGCTGCTCTGTGGCCACCCTGGAGAAGTGTTTTGCATTCTCTGAACTCATCCTAGACTGGATCCTTTAGACCATTCAGAAGGCTTACTGTAACAGGGTCCCAGACCTTAGCACAACTGACTCCATAACAGAAGTACATATTCAGCCCATAAACTCAACATGTCGACTATACCACCTGACAAATTGAAAACAAAGACCTAATCCATCTACGTCCACAGTTATGAGAAAGTCTCTAAATGTTCTAACCTCGCTTTTTGGCTTCTGTAGTTCTACTTCTGGCTAAGTGTTCCTGTTAACTAAAGATGTCAACCCAGAACATTTTTTTGTGCTTAAAAGCTCACCCTGAAAAAGGCTCAGTGCTACACTGGGATCCTGAACACCCAGTGTAAAAGCCAGCTGGCTAATAAGGACTTTCTATTGGCTTAAACCCATGTCTGAGCAGTCTTCTCTGGTGAATACTCTACAACACTTACCACTCTAATCAGGTGGCTCATGGCATGCACCAATTTCTTGGGCAGTATCTCCAGCTCCTTTTCCAAAAATGGGAACCTGGGCCTGTACCCTAACTACCTTTCTTCCTCCTGCAGTGCTATGTACCCCAGCAACTTTATCCTTCCCTTGTGGTCCTGGCTCATGATGGCTCCTAAAGCCATCCTCATAGACTTCACCAGAGCCTAGGAGAAGACCCCACCTGGACCATCTACAGGCTCTCAGAGCCACCTTGACGTTACAGAGAAAGCAGGACCAGCTGGGTGCTGGTGGTAGTCTAGAAAGACCAGGTAGTTGGGCCATAGGGGTAGAATAAGACCTCCACTGGGTATCAGAGATCTTGCATAGTAAAAAGGGGTTGGGGGCATGCTATTAGGTCAGAATGGAGAGAACATGACTGCCACCCATGTCCAGACCATCCAGCATGCTGGGCAGGGAGTCTATCTCAGCATCCAGGTTTCTGGGGTAAATGACCCCTGCTTTTTTGGGGTGGGGGGCTGGGATGCTGGGAACAGAAGCACAGAAAGAAATAATACAGCTCACAATCCCTGGGTTCCTCTCACCTCTGCTCTGAGAGAGAGACCCCATACATCTCATCCTCGACCTCAATTCTCACATTACTTCTTAAAGTGATGGTACAATTAGTTATTCTGTCCAATATTAAGTTTTACATAGAAAATTGTAAGTATAGTAAGAAGGAAAAAGACAAAAAGAAAAATTGTAAAAGTATACAGTACATTTAATTTATACTATCTGATTGTTCTGAGCACACTTAAAATTCAGGTATTGAAGTCCCACCTTAACTTTCAGTATGCACAATATTATGGGATGTGGAAACAGAACCTTTTAATAGACAGTTCAGGTACAATGGAGTTTGTATGTGCAAATCCTAATCCAGTGGCGACTGTGTCATTGTAAGAGAGACTGGGACAGGAATGACTCATAAGGAGAGTACCGCGTGTGGACAGGAAGAGGGTGTCCGTCTACAAGCCCGGAAGAGGAACCTACAGAAGGAACTAACGTGCAACACCTTAATTTGGATTTCCAGCTCCAGAACACAGGTGAAGGATAATGAGCTTTGGTGGGGCCTGTCAGAACGGTAACATAATCGGACAGAGTGGGAAAAGCATGGACACCCTAGGAACAATTTCTCTCGCACAGCACACTGAAAGAGCAGGGGACAGAAAGAGGAGCAGGCCACAGGTGCTTTCTGCAAATGTTAGGTTGTGTTTCTGGGCACTAATGGCCAGCTCATCTTATTCTTCCCTCCACTACGTCCTCAAGATATAACCAGAATGGGTCTTGGAGTCCCAGCGGAAGTTACTGTTCCCATCTTGGCAGCTCACTGTTGTCTTCCTATCCTCTACCCTCCCTTCCAAGATTCCAGGCACCCAGGTCCCTGTTCTGGGTATTGTACTTTAGAAGCCCTGCTCCTGGTCTCCTCCCCTGCCTACACTGTACCCATGCTCCACCTTCTAGACAACAACCTGGACATTTGGGAACCCTGAATTGCTTTACAATAGGCACCAAGCTCATTTTCAGTGTTGGTTCGGGGCTCTTTTCAAGTCTGTGGATCAGAGTCCACCTAATACACAGGGCCCTTTACTGAAACAAATGGAGCTGTGGGTAGGAAAAAATAGAGAGGAAGGAATTAGGAGTCTCCATTTTTCCTTTAAGGTCCTCGATTGCCAATGGGAGCCTTGTTTCAAGGCCTTGTCTAAATACTATCCCTCCCACACATAATGCCTGGTCATCCAGCCAGAATCTTTGACCTCTTGTCCTAACTAGAGTTTACCTTCTCTGCTCCTGAGGACTGTCAATCTTGTGTTCAGTCTGTCATGTCCCCTTCACCTTTCTGGCTCTACCCACATACCTGAGCTTTGTAATCCAGACAGTATCTTCTCCGTTTGTAATAAAATTATGAGTTTACATGGGTGTAGGGTAAGGAGTCCTAGGTGTGACAAGCAGCCTGAGGTCTCAGTGCCTCACAGCAGTGATCTCTCCTGTTGCATTAGGGCTGTGGGTGGTTTGGGGTTTGCTCCATGGTACCCAGGCTGCAGGAACAACCTCAAGCATGACTTTCTCGCTGCTGCCTCAGCCTGCAGTCATCCTGCTGGAGCCTCTCTCCATGGTCTGTGTCATATCTGCTCATATTCCATTGGCTGATTCTTGCACATGAACAAGCCTGGCACTGAAGAGGGAAGTGTATTCTTTCCACCTATGCAGAGCTACTGGTCACATGAACTTGAAGGGTTTCTATAATCCTCACAGAGAAGGGAACTAGAATGCAGTCGTTCAATTACAACAAAAATCTGTTAATACTATGTGATGTGCTGCTTGTGATCCTAAATGCCTTACCTGGTTTTCCTTCTAATTTGATTCCGACAGTTCCAGCATTGCAGCCATTTTACAAATAAGGTAACTGAAGTAGAGAGAAGGTTAGGAATTTGCCTGGCATCCACAAATGAATAGACAAGAAATGTCAACCTGGATGAATACAACCTCAGAGTCATTTGCTCTTATTCATCAAGGTACAATGCATTTATGAATTTATTGTCTCAAATCCTGCGACCTTCAGAGAGAGAAATACCTAGAGATTGATTTTTTAATCATACACTAATCAAGCAACATTTTATGGACATCTATTCAATGTGGTACTGAGGGATATAGAAGAGATGTAAGACATGATAAATAAGCCAATATTACTAAGTGTGGTGAAGCGCTGAGAATACAGCAGACAAAGATGAAGTGTGTGGGGGCCTGTGCCTGTGCTCTGCTGTGTGTGTGTGTGTGTGTGTGTGTGTGTGTGTGTGTGTGTGTGTGTATGTGTAGGCACAATCTTAGTATGAAAAAGCACTTAGGTGATGGGCTGACGAGAGGGCTAGGTGGGGAAAGACACTTGCTGCCAAATCAGAAGTTCTGAATTTGATCCCTCAGATATATAGCAGTGTCTGTATCTTAACCATGTGATCCAGCCTCCACCCAAGAGCATATTAACCAGGAAAGGACATCTTTCTTCTCATGCCAGGCAGGCTATGTCTTCTGGAAACGTTGAATGGGGGAGGAGCACAGGATGAGGGATGTTGGCACTGAGTATGGTGAGTACCTGAAAGAAGGCCCTGACCCTCTCTGTTATTGGGCTAAGAAATGTCCTGCTTTTTTCCTTCTTGGATCTGATATTCAACCTCTCCTCAGTTTCATGGGGTTCAATAACTTCCTCACTTTGCTTAGCCTTCCTAGAGTGACTTATTGTCTGTCCTGGAAATTTCTTAAAGATTTATTTTATCTTATGTATCATCATCATCATCATCATCATCATCATCATCATGATTAGTTGTCTTAGACAAAGCTTTATTGCTGCAAAGAGACACCATGACCACAGCAGCTCTTATAAAGGAAAACATTTAATTGGTGTTTGCCTACAGATCAGAGTTTTATACCATTGTTGTCATATTGGGAAGCACGGTGACACACAGGCAAATATAGCGCTGGAGAGGTAGCTGAGAGTTCTACAGCTGGATCAGCGCACAGCAGGAAGAGAGAGTGACTCTGGGCCTGGCTTGAGCATCTGAGACCTCAAAGCCCACCTCCAGTGACATACTTCCTCCAACAAGGCCACATCTACTCTACCTAGGCCACACCTCCTAAGTGTCACTTTCTATGAGCCTATAAGGGGCCATGTTTATTCAAACCACACATTATTGTTGTTGTTGTTGTTATATGTGGGGGGCGTTCACACACAGGCACCTGCTTGATAAGGCAGCCATGTGGAACTTAGAGGACAACTTCCTGTGGGAGTTGATGCTTTTCTGCCCCTGTGGGTTCTGGGAACTGAACTCAGGTCATCAGTTTCTGCATCCAGGACTTTTACTCACTGAGTCATCTTTTGGGCCCCAAAATACTTTTATTTTCTTCAAGTGTCTTGGTCCGTGTTCCAATTTGAATGTCCTATGAATTTAATGGAGGATTTTTACTGGAGAGGATTTTGACTGGAGAACTAGAAGAATGAGATGGAAGATGAGGAAGAGCCAGATAAGAAGAATGAATGAGATGAGTAAGAATAAGATGAGAAAGACCAAGATGGGGCAGAATTAAGATGAGAAGTAAGTTAGAACTTAGAGGGCACAGCAGATAAATGTAGAGAGAAATCAGGCAAGAGAGGAGCTAGGCATGAGAACAGAACTGAAGCTGAGGAGACAGAATTTTATCATAGAGGAATAAAGTATGAACTAATAGCTCAGTGTACTTAGATTCTTTTCCTGAAAATAATTCTTGCTGTTCATAGCTTCTCTTCTGGTTCCCTGGGAAGAAGATTATTAAGGCTGGACCATAATAATAATAAAAAAGTATGAATGGTACTGATACTTAGAGAAAAAGATTTTCATTTCAAGTGTGGGAAATAAGGGGCAAGGTTATATTTTCCCAGACATAACATCAAATGTATTACCAAATACATAGTGAGTAGAGTTAAGTGGATTCTCAGACCAACTTAATCACTGAAACATCATTGTGCTGATTGGAAGTGGTAGGTATGTTGAGTGTGACCAGCATTCTCTAGTTAACTGTCCTTTATAATTCTGAACATTAAAAAGGTTAAATTCAAAGTACATGTGTTTATGTGTCATGTGTTATTATAATATGATTCATACAGGGCAGTTATTAAATGGCTATTAAAATAAGTTTAGACAAAATGCTTATCTAGCATACTAAAGTTTAAAAGTACAATCAGTCCCTTTAATATGAGACTTTCTATTTTGCACTATATATATTATGGATTCTTCAAAGTGAACGGCATGCCGCCCAGTGGCTAGGAAGTAGTATTGCAGGAGAGAAAGGAAATGCCATTAGTGATGCTGAGTATGGAGACAGGGAACCAGGAAGAAACATGAACAAGCTGGGAATAAAATGGGTTATGAGAGTAGATCAAGAATTAACCTGCTGTTTAAATTTATGGCATGACCACAATGTTTGTATTAATAGTAGCATATTCTGCCAATAGACGTGTGTGTGTGTGTGTGTGTGTGTGTGTGTGTGTGTGTGTGTTCTGTTCTGAATATTTTAAAAAGAGACACTGACTTACATTCATTGTCTCTTTTTTGGAATCAAACCATCAACAATATTATGTATAATCTGAACTGATCCTTGGTATAAATAATAAAAGAAAAGGAGCAGAACTGTAATACTTCTGCTTTGAAAACATCACCCCCACCTCTGCTGGAGCAGAGATGTAACACTTCTGGTAGGGAAACTTTTTCCCCACTGCTGGAACAGAGCTATAACACTTGCATTGGGGAAGCTTTTCCCTTCAGAGCCACAAAACTTACAGCTATGCATTTGAAAAGCATTCACTTATAAAAACCTGAGAGGTCTTCCTACTTAGAATTCGCATACATTGTTTAGCATAATAAATACTGTTCATTAAAAAAAAAATCACCTCTTAACACTCCAGAATGCATCAATTTTAACTTTTTTTTTCCTTAAAAGACAAAGCCTGACTCTTGACCCTTCTGCCTTGAAGTCCAGAATGATTGAGTCATAGGCATGCCAGGCTTAATAGTGACTTCTTGGAAGAGTCACATCCCATTACAGTTTTCAAAAAAAAATTCTCTTTAAGCCAAGCATGGCAGTGCAAACTTGTAATCCCAGCACTTGAGATGTGCAAGCACTAGGAACCGTTGAAGGCCATCCTAGGCTACATGGAGAGTTTAAGGCCAGCTTGAGTTACATAATACAGAACTGGATGTGGAGGGTAAATTATTTCATCTTTTTCTATGGTCTCTTAATAAATTTTGTAGAGAGGACTTAAAACTACAATACTGTGTCTAGTACTTTGTAATTTTCAGAAACTCCTATCAAAATCTACATCTAATACTTACCAATAACTCTTTACACCATTAAAAGCAAGAGATGCCAGTCCCAGAACTATGTTTGTTTTGAGTCCTATTCTGGAAGACAGCATCTTCCAGACCTGGATGTCAACTAGGCAGCTCAACCTCATGAGCTTATACATCACTACCTAGTGATCTTTCCCACTCTATTCCCAATCGGAAGCAAAGGTATCTAAATCGCAAGTAACGGTATCCAAAGCAGAATCCAAGGAGTTATTCTGAATCTGTTTGCTTAGTACATGCGTTTACACACCAGGGGGGTGGGAGACAGAGACACAGACAGAGACGGAGAGAGAGAAGGGAAGATAGGAAGAAGGAGGGAAGGAGGGAGTAGGGACGAAGGGGGGCAGCAAGCAAGCAAGCAAAGCAAAAGGAATCCTTATCCACCCGAAGTTTGCATGTAGCCCACACTCTGCCCTGTCTGGTGAACCAGCACACCAGGGGAGACAGTTCTGCTTTGCTCGCTGAGGTTTTTCTAAACTCTCAGGCAGCCTCGGTGCGCTGCTGAAGGGCTGGCTGCCTGCGGCTTTCTAAAGGCCAGGCAAACAGCAGGGCTCCAGGAACGTGGGACAGTGAAGTGGCAGAAAACGCGGACGGCCCCAGGCCACCCCAGACACTACTCAGGCCAGCCTGTGAGGCTGCGCGCTTGACGGCCGCTTTGCGACGGTCGTCGCGACTGCCGTAAAGCGAGGCCTCCGCCGCTGCTGTAGAGTGAGGTAAGATGAGGCACCGGGGCTGTGTCTCTGGGCTCTGGGCGGGCCTCCTCAGGCAGGTGTCGCTGGTCGCCCGGTACCCGGACTGGCGGTCGGCCACATTCGGGGTACCCGCCCTAGGCGGTGGGAGCAGCGGAGGTCGGCCGCAGGTCCATGTGTGAGTCAGTCCGCCGGCACGCTGCGCTCCTCACGGAAGCAGATAGTCCCCACGTGCCCTTGCGGTCCGCTGATCGTCCTGACCGGCTTCGATTTCGGAGGTTGATGGAGACGCTCGTAGAAGCCGGGTCGGGACGGCGTCATCTTTTGAGCTGGGTGATGAGAGCGGAGGATGAGGGAGAACGAGGAGACGTGAGGACCGGTGCATGGCAAGGTGCCTCTGCAGGGGAGGAACTGCTGCAGCCGGCTGCTCTGCCTGCATCTTCAGTAGTGGCTGGAGGCATGAACTCGCCAGGGACAGGGAGAATGGCAGGCGGCTAACCAGAGTTCCCCCTGAAGGAGTTTGATGCCCCGCGAAGGACTTGAGAAGTTCTGTGTGCAGGGGCCAGCTGCAGCCCCTTCGAAGAGAGGAGGTGGTTGAATTGCCAGTGTCTTTCCTGCCCTCTGAGACTCCTCAGTGTTCGTCCTTAGTAGGTTTGGAGGAGTGCTCACTGTGCTTAATAATAACGGTGGATGACGATAATAATAATAATAACGTGGACGCGGTTAGCCATGCCAGATAATTGCGTGTAGCTTTGCTGTCTTCCATTTACATTATATTGGGGAATATGGGAAAAGATTGTATTTAATTGAGGCGAGGTAATTAGAAGCTTTAGATAAGAGTCTGGAGAACTGAATTCAGATTTCATCACTATCGTGAATTTCTCAGGTAGCACAAAGCAAGCCACTTTGCTGTGTGCCTCGAGCTTTCTCAGCTATAAAGAATGATACTCTAGCCTTTTTACCTTTATATATTTTAGATATATAAAAGTCAGCCAGGCATGGTAGCTCACACCTGAATATCAGCACTTTGGAGGTGGAGACAAGAGAATCACTGCATAATGAGCTTCAGGCCAGCCTGGGGTAAATGCCCTCAAGCAAGGAATTAATTTCTTGCCACTTGAGGGAAATTCTTTTCTCACTGCATTAGAGTTAATATTGCTGTGATGAAACACCATGACCAAAAGTGACTTGTGGAAGAAAGGGTTTATTTCACTCCCTGTTCCATGTAACAGTTCACCATCAAAAGCAGTGGCTGAAGAAACCTGGAGGGAGGAGCCAATGTAGAGGCCATGGAGGAATGTTGCTTACTGGCTTGCTACCATGGTTTGCTCAGCCTGCTTTCTTATAGAACCTAGGACCACTCATAATGGGCTGGGTCTTCCCACATTAATAACTAATAAGAAAGGGTCCCCCATATTTGCTTACAGCCTTGGTCTTATGGAGGCATTTTCTCAGTTGGAGTTCCCTCTTCTCAGATGACTCTAGAGTTTACCTAAAATTAGCCAGCACACTCATAAAAATAACTTGATTTGAGCTGGGAAGATAATTCAGCCACTAAAGTGCTTGTCATTACAAGCATGGTCATCTGATTTCCATTCCCAGAAATTACATAAAAGTGAGAATGGCAGCCTGCAGGTCTACTCTTAGATCTGGGGAGATGGAGACAAGAAGGATTCCTTGAAAATTCTAACCAGCCACCCTTGCTTGTATAGTGACTTACAGGCTAGTGATAGACTTTGTTTTGGAGGTATAAGTGGTAGAAAGGAGAATGGAGACGTGGCTCAGTGACAGAGAGCAAGCATGAAATGTTAACCTGAATTCAGATATTAGCACTCATATAGGAAGCCAAGCATGGCTGTGTGCATGTCGGTCACCCCAGAACCAGGGGAGGCAACAAAAAATAAGTGTTTCTGACCACCAGCCTGGCTCCAAAGTCAGTGAGAGTCTCTGTCCTGGGGGAATAAGGTAGAGTGTGAAAGATCAAAATTCTGGATCATTTTGGCCTGCTTGCTGCTGCCCTCCTAGAAGTGCACATACCCCCGACACACACAAGTCCACATGCCTGCAATACACAAGTGCACATAGCCTCCCCAAACACACATAAGTGCACATAGCCCCTTATATACCCCACAAAGGTTGATTGTACCTAAAGAATGACCCTAGAGGTAGTCTTACCGCCACATACTTGCATACACTGCTTTGCACTCATCATCTCCCTACACAATAACAACTGGTTTAGTACCATTCTCTTCTAGCCCTAAGAACACTAGCAAAATGAAGTTGGTGGTGGTGTTGGGATTTTGTTTTGTTTTGTTTGAGACGGTCTCATTATGGAGCCCTGTCTGGCCTGGAACACATTATGTAGACTAGGCTGACCCTGAACTCAGCAATCCTGCCTCTGACTCTCAAGTGCTGGAATTAAAGGCTTACACCGCCATACCTGGTTAAGAGTAGAATTAAAAAAAAAAAATAAAACAACATTTTTTCTATTACAAAATTAGGTTCAAATAAAAAAGCCTTTAAATAAAAAGAAAAGCATCTACATTTTCTCCCCTTGAAATTCAGTCTTACCTACCATTTCTTTTTGGTTAAGAATTTTTTGTGGGGGTGGGGGCTAGAGAGATGGCTCCGAGGTTAAGAGCACTGACTGTTCTTCCAGAGGTCCTGAGTTCAATCCCAGCAACCACATGGTGGCTCACAACTATCTGTAATGAGATCTGGCACCCTCTTCTGGCCTGCAGGTATACATGCAGACGAAATACTGTATACATAATAAAGAAATAAATTAAAAAAAAAAGAATTGTTTTTAATTCATTTTATATACCAATGGCAGATCACCCTATCTTCTACCGTCCACCCCCACCCCACCCGCGAGCCTTCCCCCGAACCCATCCTTTATTCCTCCTTCAAAAATGTAAGGCCTCCCATGGGGAGTCAGCAGAGCCTGGTACATTCAGTACAGGTAGGTCCAGGCCCCTTCCCTTGCATCAAGGCTGTGTAAGGTGTTCCACCATAAATAATGGGCTCCAAGAAACCAACTGATACATCAGGGATGGATCCTGATCCTACTGCCAGGGAGCCCCTTAAGCAGATCAAGCTATACAACTGTTTTATTTATGCGGGGGTCCTAGTCCAGTCCCATTGGGGTTCCACAGCTATTGGTGTAAAGTTCATGAGTTACTACTAGCTTGGTATGGTTGTCTCTGTCGGTTTCCCCATCATAATCTTGATGCCCCTTGCTCATAGAATCCCTCTTCTCTCTTTGATGGACTCCTGGAGCTCTGCCTGATGCTTGGCTGTGGATCTCTGCATCTGCTTCCATCAGTTACCTTATGAAGGCTCTGTGATGACAGGGTATTCACCAATCTGCTTACCGGGGTAAGCCAGTTCAGGCACCCTCTCCACTATTGCTAGTAGTCTAAGCTGGGGTCATTCCTGTAGATTCTTGGGAATTTCCCTAGCACTAGGTTTCTCCCTATCCCCATGATGTCTCCCTTCTATCAAGGCAACTCTTTCGTTGCTCTCCCACTCATTCCCACACCCAGCTTGATCATCCTGATTCCTTATGTACTCACTCCACATACCTTACCCTACATTGCCCCCCAAACCCTCATTTTACTAATGGAGATCTCATCTATTTCACATTCCCGGGGCAATCCATGTGTCCCTCTTAGTGTCCTTGTGAGCTATCTTCTCTGGAGCTGTGGGTTGTCGTCTGGTTATCCTTTGCTTTACATCTAGTATCCACTTATGAGTACATGCCATGTTTGTCTTTCTGAGTTTGAGTTACCTCAGGATGATATTTTCTAGTTCCATCCATTTGCCTGCAAATTTCAAGATGTCATCATTTTTTAACTGCTGAGTAGTACTCCATTGTGTATATGTGCCACATTTTCTTTAGCCATTCATTGGTTGAGGGGCATCTAGGTTGTTTCCAGATTCTGGATATTACTAATAATGCTGCTATGAACATAGTTGAGCAAGTTTCGTTCCGGAATTCTTGAGCATTCCTTGGGTATATGCTCAAGAGTGGGATCACTGGGTCTTGAGGAAGATCGATTCCCAATTACCTGAGAAACTGCCACACTGATTTCCAAAGTGGCTGTACAAGTTTGCACTCCCACCACTAGTGGAAGAGTGTTCCCTTTGTTCCAAATCCTCTCCTAATATAAGCTGTCATTAGTGTTTTTGATCATAGCCTTTCTGACAGGTGTAAGATCGTATCTGAGAGTCATTTTAATTTACATTTCCCTCATGAGTAAGGATGTTTAGTTCTGTAGCCCATTTTTTAAATGGATTGTTTGATGTTTTGCTGTCTATTTTCTTCAGTTCTTTATGTATTTTGGAGATCAGCCCTCTGTCAGATTTAGGGTTGGTAAAGATCTTTTCCCATTCTTTAGGCTGTCATTTTGTCTTGTTTACCATGTCCTTTGCCTTACAGAATATTCTCAGCTTGAGGAGGTCCCATTTAGTAATTGTTGCTGTCAGTGTCTGTGCGACTGGTGTTATATTTAGGAAGTGGTCTCCTGTACCAATGCACTTAAGGCTACTTTCTACTTTCTCTTCTGTTAGGTTTACTGTAACTGGATTTAAGTTGTGGTCTTGATACACTTGGACTTGAGTTTTGTGCGTGGTGATAGATATGGATCTATGTGCGTTCTACATGTTGACATACAGTTATGCCAGCAGCATTTGTTGAAGATGCTTTCTTTTTTCTATTGTACAGTTTTGGCTTGTCAAATATCAGGTGTTCATAGGTGTGTAGATTAATATCAGGATCTTCAATTTAATTCCATTGCTTCACATGTCAGTTTTTTATGCCAGTACCAAGCTGTTTTTTGTTGTTGTTGTTGTTGTTGTTGTTGTTTTTACTACAGCTCTCTCCTAGAGCTGAAGGTCAGACATGGTGATTACTTCAGAAGTTGCTTCATTGTACAGGATTGTTTTAGCTATCCTGTGTTTTTTGTTTTTCCATATGAAGTTGAGTATTGTTCTTTCAAGGTCTGTGAAGTATTGTGTTGGGATTTTGATGGGGAATGCATTGAATCTGTAGATTGCTTTTGGTATGACTGCCATTTTTACTGTGTTAATCCTACATAGCCCTAAGCATTGGAGATCTTTCTGTTTTCTGATATCTTCTTCAATTTCTTTCTTCGGAGACTTTAAGTTCTTGTCATATGGGTCTTTCAAGCACTTAGTTAGAGTTATCCCAAGGTATTTTATATTATTTGTGGCTATTGTAAAGGGTGATGTTTCTCTGATTTCTTTCTTGGCCTGTTTATCATTTGTATATAGGAGAACTATTGATGTTTTTGAGTGAATCTTGTATCTCTCCACATTACTGAAGGTATTTATCAGCTGAATGAGTTTCCTGGTAGAATTTTTGGGGTCACTTATGTATACTATTATATCATCTGCAAATAGTGAAAATTTGACTTTTTCCTTTCCAATTTTTATCTTCTTGATCTCTGTTGCGGACTGGGTCTCAGTAGGAACACCAGACCGAGGGAGAACAGGTCGAAGGTACTCAGGATACGTGAGATTCGGCGAATGACAGACAGACACAGACACGAGAGTATGTTGTGAAACTGTTGTAATTTTATTCAGATCAAGCAGTGTTTTTTATACAATCATTGGAGGAAACATGGCAATCGGCCAGTGGGGCGATAGACATAGAATCAACAATGTGGTCATACAATATTTAAAGAATGATTAATAGATCTCATGAGTACAGGTGTTATTTTTTTTTTGTGGTTCCTTATTTAGACAGAGTACATTACAGCCCTAGCTGAAGTTTTTTTTTTATGTAATTATTAGACCTTTGTTTTGTATCAAAATTAAACCCTTTTCACCATCATTTTAACCATGGTTTTATTTGTGTGAAAATATTTAACCTTTACCTGTAGATGGGAAGGCACCAGGGGGGTTGGGACCTAGCTATTTTTTTATGAACTGTAACTTATGTCATTTTGTTTTTATATTATTATGATTTACCCATTGGTTCCCATGTTTATCATAAGCTGCCGTAAAGGGCAATGGCTCCAAATAATTATTATATCTAGGATTAAAGTTAGGGGGTTGCCACCACCGACCCTTGATGAGAAACTCTATTTGTCCCTGGATAATTTTTGTAGGACTCGTTAGTTCCTGTAATTGTTTTCTTGCAGCTGCTGTTGGCTGTGCGTGTGGATTGCTCATGAGTTCCTGGACTTTTACTTTTATTTTTTCCTCACTAGAATCTTTGTCCCTCTGAGTCATAAGTTCTTTTTGTTTTAAATCATTTATAAATTTTCTTAAACTTTTAGGACCCTCTTTAACTGTTTGTCTAAAAGCTTGAATTATAGGTGGGGGTATTGAGGCCACTTTTGAGGAATCATTATTTTCTTTATGGGGCACATCAGGAACATTGAGAGTTAACTTTTTGAAATCAATACACAAGGAAACAGCAATAGTCACAGCTGTAAAGAGAAAAAAGGCAGAGTGCCAGCCAGCCTCTGTAAGCAGATTTTGTGTGGTTCCATGTAGCCTGGCACCATGATTCGGGCAGATTGATAAGGGGTCGTTGGGGGCATAGACCTGAGGGCCGCGAGCCCCCCTTTCCCACGTAACCACCTCATCTAAGGCATTTGTCACGCGGGCGACACCGTCGTGGGTGTGGCAGTTTTCCCTTCTTTGTTTTTATGGCGGAAGGCGTACAGGTACAGGTCACCACGTACACTGCCCAGAGATCTGGTTATTGTCTTAAAAAGACAAGGGAAAATCACGATAACACAAACTACAATTAAGGCAAGAATGTCTATGAAAATAAAATATTGAATCTAATCTAAGGGATTCATGGCCTTAAGGTCTTCTTGTAATCCTTGTGTTAAGACATTTAATGAGCCAGCTTGTATATGAGCTTGGCTCATGGCCGATATGTCCTTTTGAATAGCCTCTAAATCATGAGGAATGGAAGAATCCTTCCATACCCCTAACAAATGATGCTTAATTTTATCCCAATTCTCAGAGGAATTGTAGGGAAGCGGAGTCACACAAATAGCTTTGTATTCTTGATGACATCTAGTTTTTATAAGTTTTTTAATATTGGCCACATCTTGTTTTAAGGCTAACACTATTTCCTTTAATATATTAATCTTTGTCTTTAATTTTTTGTCAATAATTGTTTGTTTAGATAATGCAAAGGAAATATTTTTATTTAAATCATTTACAAATTGAGTTGTATGAATCTCTTGAACCAGGGTGGTGGTGGCAATGGCAAAAGTAGTAATAATAGATATTAATGTTGTTATCCCTAATATCAACGCTGTGACAAATCTTTTTGGCCTTATTAATTTATGAAGCTGTCTAAGTACCTGTAAAGCTGAATTATCATACCAAGTCATGTTATGTAATTGCACAGGCATCATTATAAAAGGTGGTCTTTTTATAATCATCATAATCTGTATTTTTTGTTTTTCCCTTGGTGAAATACAATTAGTGATAATGTATCCAAAGCAAGTTACATGATATGAATTAGACCCAAGAGCAGAGATATTTGCATGTGCGGCAGAGCCTAGTAGCAGAGCAAAAGGATAGGAAATACACGCTCTAACCGCCATGGGAGATGGGGTAGTTTTTTTGGGTCTTTTTTGAGACACTGGGCCTGAAGCGGCAACAAACCGAAACAAGTCTGGATGTTTTCTCATGTTTCCAGAGGGGGTTCTAGCGACCCACATTGGCTCAACATACCCAGGTGAAAACCACCTAGTGATTTTTTCTCTATGACCCACAAATGTATAATTATGGAACTTATCTTTATTTTTTGAGATATAATCTTTATACTTCTTTTTTCCAGAAGAGGCGGAAAAATCCCAAATAAGCAATTTAGACAGTAAAGGATTGTAGGAGGAGGCTGCGTGAGGAAACCCACAACGCAACCAAGTAGGAAAGGCGGTAATACCATCATCCCAAAATTGATTCTTATCCCGATACTTAGTAATACAGGAATCAAGAGGCATAAAATTGACAGACTTAAAAGTTTTATTTATAGTGAGAAGTCCCAGAGTAAGCAGTTGAGTCTCCCAGATCCATCTAGGATCTCCTTTTTTACCGGTAGAGCTGGGGGCATCAGTTAAAAAGGTTCTGTAGCTGGTGGAGAGACACCTGGGAAGAGCTACTCCTTGTAGGGCGAAGCAAATTGGTAATGAATCTGAGCTTCCTGCAAAGTTTATAAATGAGGAAGCACTTGCCCTTTCATCTGAATCTTGGAAACCCCCGATGATCTCCGTCTGATTGCTCAATACCTTATAAGTCTCATCATCCAACCACCCCACTACATGTAAGAGGGGAGGACGAGGCACATAAACCCAATAGGAAGAAGGACTGGTAGAGGCCGTAGA